ACCGCTTGACTAAGACGCCCGAAAAAACAGTTTTAAACGGAACGGAAATAAATCAATGTTAACACGATGAACGATTATCTTATTATGTTTATAATTCTCTTTCATTCTTACATGAATAATTCTATGGTCTGATATGCTATGATCTTCCATATCCGTACCTCAGAGGTAAATTGTATTAAGTCATAATATTATAATTTAATATACTAAGACACTAAGTGATTCTAGTACAATTTACCTTTAAGCCTGGTGAGTCTCTGATACAGGTTCCAACTAGGTATTTCGGTTATCTTAAAAGCTAGGTGTATGAAATTTTTTTCCGGAGATCAAGTAAGTTATTAGAAGTAGTATTCAGCTAAAAACCCATTTTCGAAAAAAAAACGAGACTTAATACAGTTTACCTCTGAGGTACAGATATTCATTTTGCAGTTTAGATTCTGGTTTGTTATAAGAATGGTCAAGTATTGAAGCAGTTTTATCTGTGACTGTGTGTGTTTTTGCTTGTGAAGCTATCAATAAGTCCAAGTTTATATCGCCTATAATAACACACTTTTTTATGCTTCTCCAATATTTTATCAAATTCTAATAAAAAGTTTTGAATTTTATTCTGTGGTGGTCGATATACTCCATATATGGTAATTTTTTGTTCTGGAAGTTGTATCGAGACAATATTACAGTCTTTGGGCAATGAATCTGTAGAATTATTTATGATATAATTTAAACCATGTTTTATATACCTACCTACATATATTGCAGGGGCACCTCCTCGTGTGATTCTACAGTCATGTAGGGCAGTGTATGTTGGCAGATTTGAATAGTCCACTTCATTTGGATAAATCCACGTTTCACATAGTATAATTACATGTATTATTTCTTCGTTACCCTCTATTATATCTATCAATTCTTGTATTTTGATTCTTAAGCTTCTTATATTTACGTACAACTAGATGATCCGGTGAACTTCGTACCACCTGAAATTGATTTGATAGGAACACTTCATAAGCGATTACCGATCCCCATCAACCTTTCAACTCCAATTCATTGAGATCGATAATATCAACTGCATCGTGTACGGTTTGAATTTTGTTTTCTTAAAGGGGGTGTGCGCCAAAAAAACAACTTCATCTCAAAAAAAAGAGAAAAAAAATCTAAGAATAACAGTGAAATCCGCACCCCTCTATGACAAATAATACCGCAGATATGGCTCCATGAAGGTACCGCATCTCACCCTATGACGTCACGAAAGCTCAAGCGACGCACGAGAAAGTGGATTTAATTAAATTTACATAATGTTTTTTCTGTGTTACCTGCAATAATCTAAACAAAAACCACTCACGCGTGCCGGGAACAATCAAATTAACAATGCAGAGCGCCTCTGGACGAAGTTTTCGTGACGTCACGAGAGCGTCGTCCACACTTTAAAGCGGTATATCTCAGCGATGGTTTATCGTAGAATAACGAGGTTTGAACAGTTATTCTTAGATTTTTTTACACTAAAACTTTAATTTTTGGCGCACACCCCCTTTAATATATGGAACTCTTTTGTGAATTACAAACAAATTCTAATTCAAATGAATTCAATGTCTTTTATATACATGGAAGATAAAAATTAATTCACATAACCACACGGAATGCATGACGCAGCTGTCAAACAATAGGTCTGCCCTTGGCTTCGCCAATCTGTGGGTCCGCCATTAGAATAACGGAGCTGTCAAACTTTTTTTTTGTTTTTTTGACTTTCTCTTCGAGTTTTTCCTTCCCTTTTTTTTTCTAAACCACCCCTGGATTGGGGCGAATTAAATTTAAAGAAATATTTTCAAATAAGTCAAGCCATTTTCGAGTTTTTGCGAGACTAACGCACGGCAATTGAATTTTATATATATAGGGTGTTCCACAATCAGCGTTACAAGCCATAATTTTCCTATTTTTAGAAATATTGAAACAAAAAAAAAAACGAATAATGGAAAACTTGTCATAGATGCAAAAATGGCGTTTGGTAAGAATATCAACCCTACCAAGTTTCGTGGCAGCCGGAAAGTAATCTCGTGGGCACCCGGTATACTATAAATTTCAAATTAATATTTGTTGCACTTGCCATTGTGCGTGTCGATGTTTTGAAAATTGAACACTTTTTGAAATCCAATTAGAGTAATAGAATTTTAAGATTTGCTGTGTGCATATCATTTTTGCTTTTGAGAATAAAACCCAGTACCATAGCAGACGAGTCACAGCAAGTTAGAACTTTCAAACTTAGGTTAGGACACAGGAAATAAACAAAAGAAAATGTATGCGATAAAAGTAGGTACCTACTTTGCTTTGACTTTCGATGCCAATAGTGGGTAACCGCCTATTAACATAAAACTGAAAAAATCAGCAGCATATTACCAATTTGCTGACGTTTGGAGAAAAAAGTATTTTTGTGCAAATTTTGATTATTGAACAGTCGCAAAATCATTTAAAAACAGCTTGAAGACAATTTTCGTAATTTTGAGAGCCTGTAATCAAGATTTAAATTTCCTCAAATCTGATTAATTATTATTCTAATATAATGGCAAAACAAGTTTAATATTGAAAATATCACCACACGCAATGACATGTTCAACAAACATTTTTCATTTCCGAATAAGCAATTACTTCGAAACTATCGAAACGCACATTTTTCGTCCGGCAAACTTACAAATACCTAATACTGTTATATGGTTTCACTCGATCCCCCTTCTCATAAAAAAATATTATCCCCGCTTAGGGGTTGATGTTGAGGGGTTTGAAATACATAAATAAATTTTCTTCTTAAAATCAAAAGTTGACGGGTGCAAGAGTTTCTGTTTTCTTACTGAACACCTGAGAAAAAAAGGGTGGAACCTATCCACTGGCCCACCCTGTATGTTTTATACATCTCTCTAACATTAGCGTTATTACATCAATGCATGTATTGGTTAAGTAATAATTTTATTATTGTAAGTATAATTTGTTTATATTTGTAATTTTTTTTGTGTCTCCATTTTTGTTTTTTGTGTTCTGATATTGATATAAGGTAGATATATCTAATAAAATGAAATGTACTCACTTATTTACTCGATTTTCCTTCCTTCATACCTTTTCTAATTATTACCAGGTTTATAAAGCACCAATACTGGTGTTCAATATGCAGAGTGTTTCTAAATATCATCTACAAACGTAAGGGGGTGATTCTTTGCTTTATTCTATGACTAAAATTTCTAATAAACATAGGTTCGCAAACGCTTCGTTACTGAATACCGATCTACAGGGTGTTGAAATTTTAATGTATTCATATTGAAAATGAGCAAGAATATGGCGGCGGGACCTCTATTGTCGCCACTATTGGTGGAAAAGGTTTATTGACTCACTGTAGTTTCATCTAGCTAATTACAGACATTTGTTTTTTATTTTCTTTCTCGATAAGGGTCGGTGATTCGAAGAAACTACAAGAGAACAATAAGTTTCTAAATAAGGTAGAAACATTATTTTGTTTTTCAGAATCTACCAGCGGCGCACCGCAAAAAAGTTCAGAGGCAGAAAAGGGGACATGAACCTCTGAAAAAACATCACCCTGTGGATTCTGGCAAATGTTTGACATGACGTGCAATCATTTGGCTGATATTACGTATTTCAAATTATGAGCTGCCTCCATCAAAAATTGCTGGAGCTTTAAAAAAAAAACTGAAAAAAAAATTAAAATTTCAACACCCTGTAGATCGGTAACGAAGCGTTTGCGGACCTATGTTTATTAGAAATTTTAGTCATAAAATAAACCAAAGAATCACCCTTTTGTTTCTACATGATATTTACGAACTCGTCTTTATTTACAACCGAAGTCATATCTGACCCACGAAAGATGACGATTACGTGGCAAAACTTACTTGTTAGCTATAAGAAGTCGTTATACAGTGTGTCCACCTAAGTTCGTAGCATATGGGAAACTTTTTTATTATCAATTTTACAACAAAAGTTATTCTTTATAAAAGTTTCTGCTTCTTGAAAAAATATTATAGCATTAAACTATTAAAACTTGAAATAGCATGTACAGGGTGGTCAGAAAATAGAAAAATATACAGGGTTTTTTGGTAAAAGTAGAAAAAAATGCACGTCACTATTTTTTAAAACCTTTGATATTTTTTTCAGATTAGGCAAGTCAGATTACAGTCAAAAGATACCTTCCGTTATCACAGATAAACCTACCAAATTTGAAAAAAAAATTGGAAAAGGGATTTTTGAGCTGAAAAAACGATTTTTTCCAAAACTTTGACACCCTGTATCTCAGAAACTAGTCATTTCCCGACACATGTTTATAGGAACTTTTTTCCTAAAAATATTGTAAGGAATCACATCCTGAAGTTACGAACCGTACTTAGGAAACACCCTGTATATTTTTCTATTTTTTGACCACCCTGTACATGCTATTTCAAGTTTTAATACCTTAATATTATTTTTTCGAGAAGCAGAAGAATAACTTTTTTTCGTAAAATTGATAATAAAAAGTTTCCCATATGCTGCGAGCTTAAGTGGACATACTGTACATATTATAAAACTCGCAATGTGTTGGACAAAGGTCTCTTGACTATTTAGTGTCGAGGAAATGAGTCAACGTATTTTAGATAAGCTAGAAAGAGATAATACCATGAATGGGTTTGAAATGCGTCAAGAATATTAAAGTATAGGTACCTTGGTACCTACAATACATTCGCCAGTGAGGAAGATTAACAATCGCTCTATCAAACGCATGCGTGCATTATTATTTGATCCGAAGGAATTCTATTTGTCACGTGATCGTCATCTTGTGTGGGTTAGATAATAGGTTTGTATTTGCGCACCACTAGCTAGTGATTATTCCACCACTGTTCGGACCTTTATGGCTTCTTTCCCTTCTCATCGTTGCGGAATAAGCCCCAAATCTAATTTTTTAATGTCCCCGTATAACAACACCAAAGAATCGGATTAACAGATTCTACAAAAACATAATGATGACAAATAAAATCCTGTACTTAATTAAAAATATATATATTTCAATATGACATCTCACTTTTTTTAACTAAAAGGTGTTTTTATAAACATAATTATATTATTAATCACAGAGAAATAAAATAGAATAGGTATCTGCATCTTTTCTATCACGTTGCAGGAATCTTTTCCTTCAAAAACAATATCTCGAAATTCTACCTCAACAAAAATATTATTTACCCGCTAAAATAAATATCTGATAAATTGAAACTTAATCATATAAAAAAACTATAGCTATCATTCAATCCACATTAATAAATAAATAAATATTGATATCTACTAATACTGATAATTGAATTGAAATTTACTTCTGTAACATTTCTTGTATTTCACTAAAATTTTTCCCTCTAGTTTCTGGAACCCAAATAATATCAAACAGCACCGCAAACAAGCAAGCGCCAGAATATATCCAAAATGTACCGGCTCTACCAAGTATTTCATTTGAAACATTGAAGAATTTAGTAACAAAGAAAGAAGTCATCCAACAACAAGCGGCTACAGAAGCTGAAGAAATGGGTTTGACATTACTGGGAAACAATTCAGAACTAATTGTCCATGGTAATGCACTATAAGCCAAATTAAAAAAAAAAATGTATCCCAAAAGTCCTGCTATGGGCAGCCAAGATATATGATCAGTACTTAAACTAGTACTATCTTTGATGTAGAAGAAAGCACCAAGTACTGCTAAGGACAAAGCATCGCCTAAACAAGAAACTCCCAAAGGCCATTTTTTACCTGCACTTTCAACAATAAATGTAGTGGTAAAGCTGGAGAGGAACATGCAAGCTCCGCAAATTGTTGTAGAAACTGAAGCTGAAAAATTTGAACCCGAAGCTGCAAAAATGGGTTGCATATAGTAGGAGATGGCGCCAATGCCTGACATCGTTTGAAGAAATATTAGAATCAGCGATACAATATAGGCTTTTCGAAGACCTCGATTCATGAAAATATCTTTTAAGCTCACATCATCATGTTTTTTAAAAGCTGCCTCTAAAACTTCTACTTCTTTTTTTGCTTTCTCTTTGCTACAGGATCTCAATCTCATTACAGTTTCTTCTGCTTCAGCGATTTGACCAGTTTGGACCAAAAAGTGAGGTGTTTCACTACCAATTATGACGAAACATAACAAAAACGTTGTGGGAATTGCGGCCAAAATCAAGTTAAATGTTCTTACTGATAAATATGGCCCAATTGCATATGGAATGAAATTGCCCAAAGTCCAAAAAATATTCAAAGTAACAGATAATGAAGCTCGATTTGAATCTTCGGTAATTTCTGTCATATACATAGGCAGAATTGTATAACCGGCTCCCAAAGCAATTCCATTGATGAAACGGCCAATGTAAAAAAGATAAACGTGGTTTGCAAAGGCATAAGTAAAATATGCTATCATGTGTGGTACAGCAATTGCAAGCATCACATTTTTTCGACCAATTTTGTCCGCAATAAATCCTGTCGGTATAGCTCCAATAACTGCTCCAATGTTTATGAGGCTGCCAATCCACGAATCTTCAGATGATGTTAATGGTTTGCCCAACGGGTTTTCGCTGGTGTCGTTTGAGTAAAGTTTGATATACATTGGAGAGGTCCATGTTTGAGTGATATCTCCTGCTGTAGCCAGAAGGTCAGCTGCAAAAAAAAGTGTTGGTTTATTAGAGGTTTGATGAATCGATGTCTGGCTTATAAATCAGTTTTCCGAAACTAGTTATCTGCCTCGATAATAGGATATACAGAATGTCCGGAAAATAGCGTAAAAACTTTTCACTACGTGGTGGAGGACCCTTCAAGGAACCCCAGAAAAATTATTTAAAAAATCTGGTAGCATTTTTAAGAACGTAATTAGCATTTTGATGTTTATTTATTAGAATTGGCAATACTGAAAATATCCCGTTGACAATTTGTCACAGAATTGAATTAAATACCTACGCAATTACCTGAAAAATTCGAAGGTGACTAAAAAATGTTGTCAGATCAATTTTTCCTATTGTAAATTAGAGATTTTGCAATTTTCATATTGCGTTTCAAAGGCTTAAAACAAATTTTTATAAACATGTTATGAATCAAAAAAACATACCTAACACTTTGTACGAAATATTGCAATTTGGAAAAAAAAAATCAAAAATAAAAAAGTTGAAAAACACATTTACTTCTTCATATTACGAAAAATGGCCGAGAAGGATTTTTTTAAAGTCCCGGCCAGATTGTAACAGTCCAGTTGCTTACGCGTAGAGCACGTTCCTTCTGGGAACTCTATTGTTTTCGAGAAAACAACAAACAAGTACTCTAGATAGATCCCGAATACAAGGACGTCAGTTAGAAGTCTAGTTTTTAAATGGGTGTGTTGTAGTCAGTTTGAATAACATTATTGTAGAAGTCAGTTTTTAAATACGAGATCTGTTGTGTACGGTGTACGTTTTGATTAGTGATAAGTATTTTTTCTATAAAGTCAATTTGGTGTCAGAAATGGGATAATTAGCCAGACAATTGGTGCATTCATTTGACCTAATTAATGGGAACAATATCAGTGAATTGTTATTGAACTGAAAAAGTGACTTTATTACCGGATTTGAAACCGAAAAACAATTTCTATGGTGTTCCATCTAAAAACCGTGACTCATACAAGAATAGTGACTTTATGATCAGTTTGGACATCGAAAAATAAGTTCACAAACGGATTTTCGGAAATCTAGAATATTCTATAGAATTCCATATGGAAACTGTGAGTAATACAAGAATAGTGCAGTGGCGTGTCCAGACTTTAACAGACGGGGAAGCTGTATGAAAAGATGGTGAAAGTACAGGACAGGAGAGACTTATAATTTCAGAACCAGTCAGCCATTCACAAGTTTCATATATTTCTTTCTGAAAATGTCTACATGAAGTTTAGTTTAGTGTTCTTAATAAATCCTCGAGGTGAAGCTGTGCTTCCCTAGCTTCCATAGTAAACACGCCACTGGAATAGTGTCTTCATCCTAGATTCGGCATCCAAAAAGAAGTACACAGAGTGATTTTCTTAAGACATTCCATCGTGACTTCGCCACAGAAATTTAGATTGGAAATCAAGTTTCAAAGAAAACTACGAAATGTCCTATGGCAAATACACGACAACAAACAGCTGAAATGGAGAAAATTAATCAATACTTGTTAGTGGGCTTCATGAAAAATATGGACGATAAGAGACGAGAAGAAGAAGCTCGCAAACTTAAAGACTAAACGAAAGACAAGACGAAGGCGACAGAAGACAGAAAGAAAGACAAGTAGAAGAAGACCGAAGACAGAAAGAAAAACAAGAAGAAGTAGATCGAAGACAAATAGAGGAAAGACTGGAGACAGAGAGAAAAAAACAAGAAGAAGAAGAAGGCCGAACACAGAAAAAAAATCAAGAAGAACATGACCGCAGACAAAAAGAAAAATCAGAAGAACAGGACCGGCTTCAAATCTCAGCTCTCAGGAAAAAACCAGACTAGAGAAAATTCTGGAAGTGCAATGTTATAAATTCAAACATGCACTGGAAGAAATACGTGAGAAGTTGGTAGTGCTCGTCAGGAAGTTGGAACTGTTGATCATGCAATTGGAACTGTTCGTCATGAAGCTGGAACTATTCGCCAAGAAATTGATAATTTTGAGAAGGCTAAAAGGTTGTTTGTTATGTGACCTAAGATCAGGAAATGTCTTAACTTCACCTGCAACCGATATTCGAGTCGGAATCAGGCAAGGAAATTTACGTAGTTTTTTGGCGGTTTTTTACATGAAAAGCTAAGGTTTTCTTACCAACCTAATTTTGTTTAATTTGAGTTGCATTTATTAGAAAGTCCATATTGGCACTAAAAGTCAATGGGCAATGATGTCACCCAAACTTCCGGATTTTAAAAAAAAGTATAAATCAATCAATTTTTGATTTCGAATACTTTCTATACGCAAAATAGTAACAATAACAATAATAATAATAATAATAATAATAATAATAATAATAATAATAATAATAATAATAATAATAATAACACATAGCTGGCTCATTCACGTTCTGGAAATCTATAAAATAGACCCTGTTCTTATCAATTTTCTACGATACAATACTGAGAAATGGAACACGAAGCTTGTCATTGGCGACAATCAAAATAGAATTGAAACAAAACTCATTCAAATAAGACGCGGAATCTTCCAAGGAGATGCTCTGAGCGCTCTCTGGTTTTACGTTTCTCTAAATCCCTTATCCAATGCATTAAAACACACACAATATGGATACACGTTGAAGGGAGAACAGACGAGCTACCTGCTTAGTCACCTCTTTTTTATGGATGACCTCAAAATGTACTCAGCCAATAAAAAGCAACTTGAAATACTCCTAAAACTAGTACATAATATGAGCAGCAACATAGGCATGGAATTCGGGATTGAAAAATGCAAAACCGTCAACATTGTGAGAGGAAACCTCATTCAGGCAGAAGGCGTTGAACTTGACGACGGCCTTGTCATTCCAGCCATGAGTGACGAGAGCTACAAGTATTTAGGAATGATGCAGGACTCAACACAAACAAATTAAAGAAAAATTTACCAAGAAATTTGAGGAAAGAGTACAAGCTGTCCTGAAAAGTCACCTAAATTCAATTAATTGTATCACTGCAATTAACACATTTGCATTATCCATACTTACCTATTCCTTTGGTGTCGTAACGTGGTCACAAACAGAACTTGAAGCCCTTAACAGAAAGGTAAGGACGCTAATGACGCGCACAAGAAAACATCATCCAAGATCCAGCACACACCGTGTATACTTACCTAGGAAGATGGGAGGAAGGGGCCTGCTCGACTTAGTGAATCTGTGCAAAGAACAAATAAAGAAACTGCGTTTGTACTTTGCAAGAACACATAAACAACTACACAAAACAATAGTCGATGCAGACCGAAAACTGTCGCCACTAAATCTAAGAGAACCCCGTTACCTACCTTTTACAACAAATGACGTCACTCAGAGAGCGCGGGAATGGGCTGCGAAAGAGTTGCATGGACGATTTTATGGAGAACTCCATCAGGAACATATAGACACACAAGCATCCGTTCAATGGCTAGTTAAAGGAACCATTCATCCGGAAAGTGAAGGCTTTATGCTTTCCATTCAAGACCGTGTGGTAATGACAGCTAACTACAGACGGTACATTCTTCGAGAAAATATCAACGACAAATGTAGAAAATGTCATACAGAACGGGAAACAATCGAACACATACTATCGGCATGTCCAAACTTAGCGAAGACAAGATATATCGAAAGACACAACAAAATAGCGACAATCATATATATAGAATGCCTAAAAATGCTAAATTTAAATGTACCTGATGAAGCGCCGTACTATGCATACAAACCGCACCCTGTTGTTGAGAATGAAACGCATAAAGTCTACTGGGACAAATCGATACTGACAGACCGCCAGGTGATTCACAACAGACCTGATATTGTGATTATCAACAAAACAAACCAAACAGCTCTACTTGTAGATATAGCAATACCCAACAATCAAAACATTAGAACTAAAGAAATCGAGAAGACAACAAAATATGAACAGCTGACGATAGAAATTCTGAGAGTATGGCAGCTGAAAAAAGTGGAAATAGTCCCCATAATAGTATCCTCTATGGGATTGGTACCAAAGAGCCTGCAGATCAATCTAGGCAAGCTAAACCTAAATTACAAAATATCAACGGACATGCAAAAAGCAGTTGTCATAGATGCCGTAAGTATAGTGAGATCTTTTCTTCGTTGATTCACACATCTACTATGTCTTTAAAAAAAAAATAAAAAAAAAAAATAAATAAAAATGATAATAATAGTAATAATATAAAAAATAAAATCAAACCTGGAGAATCGGTCAGATTTGAGGATCTGAATAATGTAGAAAATGGCAGAGACGAAAATAGGATTGAAGACGCTGAGAAACAAAACATTGAACAAGTCGAAGAGGAGCCCAGAAGCACCATATATCAGGCAAAGATATTATTCAAAAAGATGATGCAGAAGACATTATGGAAATAATCGAAGAAGAGACAGAATCAGGCACATGTGAACCTGAACCTGATGACGAATTTAGCCCATACGATTTAGAAGAAGGGACATATTATTTTGTTGTTCGTTTTGCAATAAAAAAGACCCTGGAACACTACATTGGAAAAATTTTGTCGGTGTCTACGCATAAATTTTAGGCTTTGCACAGAATCGTCACGGTACATTTATGTACGGTTTCTTGGTCTGTTGGAACAAAGCTGATATCTACCCCAACTGCGATTATACAGGAAGACTGGTAAGTAGACGTATTCCTTTCAGGAGGTGAATGTAGAGCCCATTTGCTACCGATTAAACATCATTGACCTCTATACCATTCTCAACAGTTTTTGGGATATTTATTATTTTTTAATTTCCAAGAAATTCGCTTCTTTGCGCGGTAAATATTTAAAATTAAGGAAAATAATGAAAGCCATTTTAATTGTCGCTTTTTAAATTATAAGCTGACACACTTACACAAATATTAGCATTGAAAATTATTGAAACAATAATGTTAAGTATTAAATTATTTCGGTTTAAACTTAAATTTTCTTGTCAAGTTACAAACTAATGGTTACTTTATGCTTAAAAATTTCGGAAATTTCATAGTACATCTAACGTACAAATTATTAATAAAAGTTCTCGATATTATTGTCTTCAGAATAAGACACATTATTTCAGAATTAGTCTTTTGTTTTATTATTAAATAAATAGGTTTTATTTGTAAGAGTAACCAATATGAAGAGAAAATTACTCGATTTGTTTTTAATACCAAGTGTTACAATAGAAATGTTGTCAAATATTAGTGTTAACATTAACCTTAATGAGGTATGTTCCTTATTATTTCGTTAATTTTAAATATTTACCTCCCAAAAAAGTGAATTTCTTAAAAATAAAAATAAAAAATATTTCAAAAACCGTTGAGAATGGTATAGAGGTAAATGATGTTTAATTGGTAGCAAATGAGCTCTACTTTCACTTCCTCAAAGGAATACTTCCACTTACCAGTCACCCTGTATATCTGATATACATTTTTTAGATACAGAAATTATACTAAATGAGCCTGAGATAAAAAGAGGACGACATTTTTTTAAATGAAAACCTCGAAAGCGAAAGATTCAACCTTCAGACTGAAGTTTACATAAGAAAAACATTGGCCTTCGATTTTTTTTTTTATTTTTTGATATAAGTGATTTGTTGTGTGTTGATGTGATTGCCATACCTACATGCAGAAACCTTTTTAGAAAAAATTTTGGTGAGCAAAGTTGATTAATAAAGGCGTTAACTTTGCCCACCTCCTTTTTATTTTATTTTTTCGGGTATTTCTTCAAAAGTTAGCCAAACGATTAGTGACGCCAAAACAAAACTTTTGGCACCACCGCAATTTGCAAATAAAAATCTCCCAAAAATATATTAGTGAAAAACAAGAATTTCCTGGGCAAAGTTCTGAGGTTTTACGGTACCTAGTATTGAAGAAGAATTCGTAGGTCAGGGCCTGTCAGCCTGAAAAATCTGAATTGTATTTGCTTAGCCATCGTATGCCAAAAATTTTCAAGCTAAGTACAAAAAATTATGTTGAGTTTTTTTTGAAAATGTTTTCAACAGATATTCATTATACTTATTGTATTAGAGAAAATAAGAAAACAGCTCTAGGATCCCGTCAGATCCCTTATGAATCCTGGACGTTACTTTGGATTTTATTTTGCTATTAAATAATAATGTAAATTTAAAAACGGCTGTACGGAAAAATAATTTAATCATTTTTATAAAATCATGAAATGCAGCCAGTGGCGTAGCTAGGCGTCGGCGACTGGCCTCGCGCCCTAAGTAGTTTCGCAAAAAATAGGTTACCGAATGTGAAAATTGACACTTTCCGATTTCCCAAAATAAAACGTAAAGAACAAATAAACTTAATCCTATAAGAAACTTCTAGATATGATACATAGAATTCACTTAAACTTCTTAATTCTATACTGCAAATTAACCTAGAACTCTCAAATCATATGGTTTTTATTATTTTGGTAGATTGTCGGTATTTCGATAAACCGGTAATTGTGGAAACGTTCTTATCACGTATATATTTTTGTTTAATTCAATTAATTAGTACTTTTCCTAACTGGCAAGCGACCGAGACATAAGGCGATTTAACCCCAGATTTTCATCTGCTATTTGGTAGGCGAATGGTTAACCAATTGGTACGTGAGTGACGTAGCTCAACAATCTCATCCGAATTCAGTGGGTAGTAGGGCGTTTGTTACATTATGACTTTAACATGTTTATTTAGAATTGAATTATTGTGAGACAGAAAGCTACCAAACCTCCATTACTTAGTTACAAACCGCGCTATAGCATTTCATTTGACAGACCAAAGTGCCTACCAAAGTTGCCGTGACGGCATCATTCGCCCATCCGAAATTGATTGGTACAGTTGCGATCAATAAGAAGTTGTACACAAATTATCAACCTCAATTTGAGCGTCCGGTGTAACATACAAAATTTTGAAAGTAAATAAACATTTCAAAATATGTTGAGTTCAGGCAATCACATATCCTAGGTTAAAAACGGGTGGAAAAATGCCAAACTGATGTCATCTGAAGCTTTCTAGGTTAAAAACTTGTCGAAAAATGCCAAAAATATGTCATTTTTGGTTATGAATTAAATTAATGTATAGTAGACCAGGAGATTTTGGAGATTTTTCTTGTATATACAGTGAGGACATAAAGTCCGTCGCCCCCCCTCTAACTTTTGAACCGCTCAGTATATTGCAACGAAATTTTGAATGATGATATGTGACCAGATTCTCCATGTTTTGAAAAAAAATTACAGCTTCAGCTGTCAAAATGACAGCTAGGCGCAGTTTTGGAACGTTTTTTTAAATAGAAGGCGGTGTCGAATGATATATCGTTTTAAAGGTTCCTTTATTTAATCCCCAATTCTAAAAACATTTGGTTTAGCGGTTTTCAAATGATGACGAAAAAACAAAGGCTTGTTTTGCTCATAAACACTCATAAAAAAAAATTTATCGGTTTTTTATTCATTATTGTTTTTTTTTTCAGTAATAATAATGACGTCATGACATTGGTAGCTTAAATAATGAATAAAAAACCGATAACATTTTTTTTTTTTTTTTTATGAGTGTTTATGAGCAAAACAAGCCTTTGTTTTTTCGTCATCATTTGAAAACCGCTAAACCAAATGTTTTCAGAATCGGGGATTAAATTTAGAATAAACAGGCCTTTAAAACGATATATATATCATTCGACACCGCCTTCTATTTAAAAAAAACGTTTCAAAACTGTGCCTAGCTGTCATTTTGACAGCTGAAGCTGTCATTTGTTTTTCAAAAAATGGAGAATCTAGTCACATGTCATCATTCCAAATTTCGTTGCAATATACCGAGCGGTTCAAAAGTTAGAGGGGGGGCGACGGACTTTATGTCCTCACTGTATATATAATAGTTATTTACATTACAAGTGCGTTTATGAACATGATCACAATAACGAGTGTGAAGATTCTAATCACACGAGTTTTGTAGTCATGTTGAAAGGCACGTGTGATGTACAACGTTTTATCTACAAAGCGAAAACTGAGAATGTTTTTTCAATCATTCGTTTATTAGTCGTTGTCTACCTTCATTTTACCTTCACAGGCGTACCTTTGACATTTGCCAAATCATCGAAAATAGTTGTGTTATGAATTCATAACCTAGTCCATAACACCACTGTTTTGTTATGAGTCTTATGACATAACTCAAATACTAGAAAAATGGTTATGTGAAAACGTCATAACCATAACCAAACTCTTGTAGATAAAAATATGATGACCATACGTACAGTATGTTCACTATTCACTATATTTTGATCCCCAACCTGCAGCATTTACCTTTACAGGTAAATGATAGGTGTAAATACAAAAGTTGTGCAGTTTTAGCTAAATTTTGAGAATCCATCGTCAGAAACAAAAAAAAATTGTCAGAAATTTGAAATTTTGCGTACTTTCAACTTTTTTCAAATGGAATGCCCTATATTTCTATATTCTTCAAGAGCAAAATTTTCCGATTTCAATAATTTATAGGTAGTTTTTCTATATTTTTATTGTATTGCTTAGAATACAAATTTTTCAAAGTGGCCAGTTTTAAAAAGCGCTTTTAAGTAAAAAGAGGATGTTGCATATGGGTAAAAATGCACAACTTTTGTATTTACACCTATCATCTACCTGTATAATGAATAACCCGGTACATTCTACAGCATTTTGAAAGTCCGTCCAGCATTTGATTTTGTACAGCTAACAGCAAACATAAACATACTAGAGATTCGGAAATTAATTAGGTTTCCTAAAAAATTGCCTGATTCCTACTAAAAATTGTCGTTTTATGTTTGTGTCATACTGTAATGAATGAGAAATTTATTTTTGGTTGGAAGGATTTGTTAGCAGAAAAAATATTAATATTTGTGACTAATAAGACTTTGCTAATATTGTTAACGAATACCGTTTAAATGCCACAAAAAGGGGGCGTGACACTCAAAAAATTCTCGTCTTCGGCGATTATCTTTTGGCGGGCCTGCCGGCGGCTATACCCGACCCTGTCTTTATATCCAGTTTTTTTTTCACAAGAAATATGGCCCTCCCTTCATAAAAGGGGCCTCGCAATTCGGATGTCGCCGACGTCCGCCTCCGACCAAATAATAATAATTTCGAATAATTATTTTAAGCGTAATTTCCAAATCACAAAAAATGCCTACAAATAGTTGTGACACTCACCTATTAGCACTGTCAACACTGTGGTACTTATTCCAAAAAACATTTCTATAAAACACGGAAAGTAACAAGACACAAACAGTAAAGCTAGGTGGGCATGAAATGTTTCAGTAGATACTAAACGTGACTTTGTGTTGAATAGATTTTTTATTAGGTAGCAGACCAAAACGTACAAATTGACAATCATCAGGATTCCTTAAAGATAAGCAGAGTGCGGTCCACTTAAAACCAAATCAAAATGATGCATAATACATTGAATTCATACGTCCCTACCTTATCATAAGAGGTGTGAGCCTATTGAATGCATAAGTGAAATCATAATAATTAATAATTATTGCAATTAAAATATACTCCGTGTCAAAAAAAGCATAACACCTTATAAGGACTTCAGATTTAAATACTTATAACGTTGCTTATATGCCATTTTTGTGTGTTAAAAAGAGTTGCAAGTGTTGTATATAGTCATGTAGTGGTTCTCCACTGTTCCATTTATCAATATTGTGATAAGGTATACCTACATATATGTATGTAACAATAATTAATATTGATTTTGGTATAAGAAACAGAGTTCAATGACTACATTTTTCCAAAAGTACATTTGTCACACTCGATCTTCACATGGACAACCAAAATATTTATATTTCAGCCTATGTCGGTATACTAATACACTGCAGCCAATCAAGTTTAGTACATATTAATAAATTACATTTGCGATCAGTGAGACAAACGAGATTCAAGAAATCGATAGGTACAAGAAAAAGAAACGTTCGGTCCTTAATTCAAATGCAGTTCATTTCGTCGCTGTCAGTACGAAGGGGCCTATCTCAATATTTGGCGAAAATGAGTTATTCCCATAAAAATACTCAAAAGAACCATATTTATGTTGTGACGAACTGGCATAATATCTCCATAAAACACCGTGTGGCCATTATTCAATTTTAGCGGCATATCTGCTTTGTCAAACAGCCAAACATTTGTTTTTGTTATTGCGAAAGGGCCTATCTTCTCAATAATTTATTTACAGAAAAAGTCCAATCTTTTCTTTCTAAAAAGATATGTCTCAATGTTCTAAGTATACTTTTGTGTTATGTATAAAAAAACAAGTTCTGCTACAGACAAAATGAACAGTAGAGTTTTCTTCAAAACGCTCTCCTGCAAAGTTCTGAAATCAGAGATTGGCCAGTTCGTAATGACAGCGACGATTTGTTCGGCTCAAATTGACAGTAAAGAAAAACGACAAAAAATTAATAACATAACACGGAAAGAAATGCTTTGATAAAATGAATCAAATCGACTTATTGAAATGAGAAATACCATAATCTGTGCCAAATAAATTAGTTCAATCCAAAATGGAATAAAACAAGAAAAAAATTGACAAATATTAGTATTTTAAGATTAATCTGCTAATTTCGCTTACGATTAATAACATCAAATTGAAATTAATGTCAATAGATACAATTTTCTTGTTTTTATGTTTAAACTGCTAAATCTCATCAATTTTTTTCTTGGGACATCAAAATTTAGATTGATTACAGAAAACGCTTTTCTTAAATCAATCAAACATCAAAGATTGAATTGATGTACCTCCCATGATTAATTTTCGCAAGAAATTTGCTCAATTTAACTCTAAGATTATATTATTTTAGCTGTACTTGATAATAGTTTAACTAATGAATAATATCTGATTTATCAACAAGATCAATTTGAGAAATTGAGATTCCTAGTGTCTAATAGAATAAGTTCCATCAAAGTTATCTCAACAAGCATCATAGTGAAATAATTTCTTACATATTTCACAGATCTATGCATTTCCAAATCAAATCAATTAGGAATGAACTACTATGTACATTGATTAAAAATATTTTAGGTCTTAACACAGAATAATAAAGGCATTAATTTACTTTTGATCTATGGTTTTGATGGGATCAATAAAATAAATGCTTAATATCTATGATATTTTAAATTAATCTATTCCTGTCTGGATTAAGTTATTCATACAATTTACTGAAATTTAGAAAACAGAAAAAAAAAACAGTAAACTGAAAACAATCAAATATATAGGTAACTATTTCTATCCAATTTTTGCTACGACTATCAAATATTTGACTAAATTAATAAAACTCTTCTAGAATCGAGCCATTATTAGGCTAAATCTATAAAATAAGGAGTAAATCAAACAAATACCTATAATTTTTTGTGCAGGTTTTGGCTATTTGAGTTATTTTTCATTTGAGAATATTTTAGTGTGTGGTGTTTTATGGAAGGAAGAACGTCTCTCCTGTTTATGTGTAGTGCACGCCGCACCCGGTCGCATGGAGGTAAGTAACACCCATTTGGCTCACGTTCGCAAATTTGAAGGTAACACCCGATATCGCAACGGAGAGTTTCTTTATCGTGTGTTACTTACCCTGGACAGATGTGCATTCACATAATGTTTAACAGTAATTCCCTTATTAGATACATAGTATAGATATAATATTATTAGTTTTTTATGTTTCAAACTTTCAGTATTTTATTAATTTGCTCGTTAATTCTTGCTTATGGGCCCTACTTTTTGTATTTCCTTTTGGTATCATGTACAGGGTGTCCGAATTTGGATGGTTTTAATAGGAAACGTCAATTTCTGAGCGACATACAAAAAAATGAACCCCCCACTCCGAGGCTCAATTTTCTTGAAATTTTGATTGGTGCAAACCGCATTTTGATATCTTCAACCGTTTAGCCGCTAGAGGGCGATTCTCGATTTTGAGCAATACTGTGAAATCTTCATAACTTTTTTGTTTATAAAAATAACTGATTTCTGTAAAAACTTCCTAGAAGCACTTTTTCAAGCAGAATTCAGTGACGTTTTCAGTTGACCAAAATCCGATTTTTTCCAATGGGACACCCTATATATTAATAGCTCATCAGAAAGCTCTGCTTTTGCTGATTTCAATGATAAAAATTCCGATAGGTTTATCTCTAACAGTTTTTGAGAAAAAAAAATATTTCGGCTTTTGTCATAAGAAACAATGAGTTAGAAAGAGACCTTTCTCAGTTTCCTTACAGATATAAAGTCCTTTTCTTACACATTACTTCTTATGACAAAAACCGAAATAATTTTTTTTCTCGAAAACTATTAGAGATAAACCTATCGAACTTATATCATTGAAAACAGAAAAAGCCGAGCTTTCTAATGAGCTATTAATATATAGAGTGTCCTATTGAAAAAACCAGACTTTGGTCAATATCTCGGAGTTGGGACCAATTAGAAAAAAACTGAGAATGTCACTGAATTCTGCTTGAAAAAGTGCTTTTAGAAAGTTTTTACGGAAATCAATAATTTTCATAAACAAAAAAGTTATGATCGGTTATGATGGTTTCACATTATTGCTCAAAATCGAGAATCGCCCTCTAGCGGCTAAACGGTTGAAGATATCAAAATGCGGTTTGCACCAATCAAAAATTCATGAAATTTGAGCCTCGGAGTGGGGGGTTCATTTTTTTGTATCTTGCTCAGAAATTGATGTTTCCTATTAAAACCATCCAAATTCGGACACCCTGTACACATGTAGGGCCAAATAAGAGAAAAAAGATTGAAAAAATTCAGTACAATTTGATTCGAAAGTATCTGTTCCTTGTTGACCTGGTATGAATTTCACCAAGCCTCACCGGAGAGATATTCTGAGTTCTAAATAATATTTTGTATCAAAACAGCAAAATGTAAAAATCTTCTTTCTTTCATCTTAAGCATTTCACTGTTAGTAATGTAAGGAGTAACATGTTCTCGTGCAACAAAAAAATTACAGCTCAAAAACAAAATTCCGGTTTTTTGAGCCCACCCTATATATTAATAAATTCCTTATTTGTTATTTCACAAGAAAAAAAACAAATATACATATACAGTGTGTCATTTAAAAATGTGAAACGTGGCCTTCTTTTTGGATTTTTCGATGTTCCATAACTATACTAGTGAAAAAGACGTTCTCCTAAATTAAAATTAGTGTCCGAGGTTTTTCGAGAAATCTCTTTTATTGTTTTAATCTGCTAAAATACGAACGCACAGTATAATTTAGAATAATATAACAATAATAATTATATTTTGCACTTATATACTCATGTTTTAAAATTTCAATGCCCTAAAATAATTATTTACAAGATGGTAATAGTAAATAGGCTTATCTAATACCGAGGGTAAGTAACACCCGATAAAGCGCACATCCATGCAACCACGGGTGTTACATTTAAAAAACCGAACCGTTGTCGAACAGGTTGCCGAATGCTAAACAGGGTGTTACTTACCTCCATGCCACCCGGTCCACAGAAAAAACTTGTCTAAGTTGTGTTTGTTTATTTTTTCGTACTCTCACACCCGTACTCGTAGTGCCACGCAGTGCTAACTGGCAATAATAAGTTATTGAGTTTTGTGAGTGATATTTGTGATATTTGTTTCTTTATGGGAGAGAAATTGAAATTTCCAGTAGAAACGAACATTTCATCTGTTTTTTTTTTTGTAAAAAAAACCTACTAATAACATAGGGTGTTACGGAGTTTTGGAATTGTGTTTTTTATTTTTATACAAGAAAATTTATATTTTTAATTTGGTTCCTATAAGCCGAGGGGGATTTCAGTAGTGGAAATGTGTACACTAAATTACCACTTCTGACAGAAATTACCACAAATTACCAATAATTTCCTCTAAATTACCACTTTTTTCCTCTATTACCTTTCATTGCCTCAGGAATTACCACTCAATTCCACTCAAATTACCACTTATTACCACTAATTTCCTTTAAATACCACTAATTACCACTCTCATTACCACTAATTGCCACTGAAATTACCACTAAATACCACAAATCTATTTTAATTTTCAAGTATACCTGATATTTAGAACTCAATAACATGTTGCTAAGTAGGTATATGATAATAATAACACGATGTAAATTTTTATACGTCTTTAGGGTTTTGAAAAATATAATTGTGTACCTACATTAAAAAGGGGTGTGTGACCTTAAAAAACGACTTAAGCTACCTAAATCAAGAAACAAATTCTAAGAACTCTCGTGAAAACCGCAGTCCTATATTCGAAATAGTCTCCGAGAAAATTCCATATGAAGATACAGGAACTTGTGATGTCCCAACCGCCGAAATCGGAGTCTTCTGTTCGTTCAGTCGTCAGTGAACCGTACCCTATACTTTGAATGGTTTCAATTCGCCGTAGGAGATAATTGTCTTTTGT